AAAAATAATGATGTCATGGTCTGTCAATAAATATCACTATAATTTATTTATCATATTGTTTTAAATAGTATTTCTGTTTGTATTTGATAATTTTTTAATAGTGTTTATTAAATCATTATCAGCTACTAAAATTATCATTATTTATTAATAAAAATACAATCACTACTAATTAATATTATCATACACCATTATAGCCATATCATACACCATTATAGCCATTACATTCATGTCAATTGCTACATTATCATTATTACTATCATCGATCATTGCCATGTGATTGCTATAACATTATTGTTTCAGCACTGCAAATAAATTAAGTGACATTATTATTTTTTATATTTTAACTAACAATATCATAACATATTTTTAAAATTAAATTAAGTTCATATCAGAATTATTTTTTTTTCTTTATATGTGTTTATTAATAAAACAATTTTTACAAAACTACAAATAATAAATATTTATTTTCTCTAAAAAAAACGAAAAAAAAACATATGAAATGAACTCGAAGTGAATCGCTTACGTTTATTTAACTTAATTAAGAAAAGGAGTTAACTTTCATCAACATCACGACAACTCCAATTTATCTTGAATACCTTCTGAAAAAACTCTTAGGTCATTGTTTTTCATGTCACATGAAGTGACATTTTATGGTAAATAGGTAAAGTATTTTTAAACTTATTTATTATTATCAATAAATATAAAATTTTATTAAATTATGTTGATTAATATTTTAGATTAGAAGTAAAGTTGTCAATTTTATTCTGTTTCATTTGGAATGATCGAAATATTTCATACTAATTCAAAAAATAAAACAAAAAAATAATTTTTATCTCATTTCAAATCTTGATCTATTCTTAATTTGTTGGCTAAGTTTCAGCTGGAATGGTTCGATTTCATTCTACATGTTCTGTTCCAGTTTTGAAAAATCATTGAATCAAATTGAATCTGGTTCAATTTAATTAATTAAATCATCCAAGTATAAAAAAATATTTTTCATTACTATTTTTAATAATAATGATAATAATAATAATATTGAAAACTATTATTACTATTTTCATTAAAAATTATATTAATTTTTTAAAATTAGATTTATTACTAATATATATGATTTATATTCATGTTGATTTTTTTCAAGTTTATACTTTGTAGGAATTTGAGCAAAATAAAGAATGTTTTAGATCTCATTAGTCTTTAAAACATTGACCTAACTTTATATTTAAAATATTTGTATTAAAACATTTTATTTTTATAATATTTTGATATTTTGTTTAAGTTGAATTACTTTAAGTTAAAGATCTATTTAATCTTGACTATTTAGAAATATTTTAAATTTTAAAATTATATTTGTTTGATACTGTATTTGTATTGCATAATTTATAATTAATTTATCTTGAATTTTAATTATATTTGTTGAATTTATATATATAGATAGTACAACCCCAAAACGAAAATATTCCATTCTAATTGGATTAGAATGAAAAAATATTGAAATGAAATTGACAATCTTGATGAAGAGATAAAAATATATTTTATTAAAAAATAAATAAATATATAAAATAAATATATTCTAAAAACAGTTTTGCAGTGTATCTCTATTTTAAAAAGAACATGAAAGATCTATCTATCTACTGTTGTAATATATTATTATTTTATGTCTAAAATATCTATTTAAAAAAATAATTATAGTGTTTTCTTTTTTATAACAAAATATTTTATTTGGATTAATCATGTCTCCCCACTAATATCTGCTGATAGACTTTATCTGGATTCTTGCTAAATTTACCACAAGACATGAATATCTATCCCATGGTTTTTCTTCACTTCTTTCCTTCGTTTTTTAATGTCACTCCTTCTCTTTGCCTCTCTCCTTCTCCATCACCCCTTCTCCGTCACTCATTTTGGCCATGTTTGTTTTTGAGAAACATCATTTATAGTTGTTTATGATTAGCTCTAATATGTCTATATATTGTGAAAGTTCATGTTGTTATGCCTTTGATGGATCATAATTGGAATTAGTTTAAGGTGATTTATGTTGTTTTTGAAAGTATTGAGTTTGGATTCGTTGATCTGTTAGTTTCCAAGCTGCCAAATTAGTGACCCTTATTTTCTGAGCTATTACTGCATAAATGTGTTTTTTTTTTTTTTAATTGTCACCCTTATTTATGTTGTTGTGAAGGCTGGAAGGGAGCAGAGTTGATTGGGCATGATTACCAAATGTTATCTTAGGTCTCGTTTTATGAAAAATAGTTTTTAGAAATTATTTTTCTATTTTTTTGTAATATTTAACTTCATAATTTATTTTTGAATAATTGGGTTGTAATTTGTATGTGTGTGTGTAAAGGAACTCGATCGGAATGGAAGGTTGAGATGCACCAATATTGTATAAAGAAGAGATAATTCTTTTTTACCATGTATGGATCATTATTTTTGGCATGTATCGTTATCGAATGAAAGCTTGCATTGCTATGAATCTAATTATAATAAAAAAGGTAATATTTTTAAAAATAATAATTTTTTTAAAAAAAGAGAGTAATATTTGAATTCTCAAATCCCAAAACTTTCAAGTTGAATTCGGTGTTGATTTATTATTTAAAAAAGATAAGGTACGAACGTAGATATGTGTTCGAAAGTGTTAAAATACCCTAGAATGCATGCAATTTCTTATTGAACTAATGCCCTAGCAACCTGGCAAGATGTTTGGATTCATGAGGTTGAACTTTGAGCATCTTCAACAAACAAAGACCTGCCCACAGCCTGAAGGCAAGGGTGGATACTATTCAAGTATTATTCTTTTTATTTACTCGAATTTATTGAACTAAATTAGCTGAAATTCTTTATATATATTTCTTTTTAATTCATTAATACTCAAATCCCATTATTGTGTAAACCCGGATTGTCGAATTTTTCAAAATTTGATTTCGTGTCAGAAAAACACACACACACACCAAACTGGTAATTTTTCGTCTGAATTACCCCAGCGCAGACCCCTGCCAATGTCAATTGTCAAGGGACATCAGAAATTTGATATCTTTGGGCTCTACTTTCAGCAACCCCATAGATTCAGCCTTATTTACTAGGAGATTGGTGGGCCCGTAAATGAAGCCCGTCAATTACGGCAAGCAAATCACGTGGACACGATGCTCCATGGGAGGGAGGGGCTAGGAGTGTATGATTTTCAAAGAAAAGGAGAGGGGCTATGTAAGTGGTGGAGCATTGATCGGAGACCGAAGAGTTTATGGCTGGTTTTGCCGGAAAAAGGTCCATCATGTCAATGGCCCGCTGCTAGCAGAAGCTTAAGTGATTAGCTCATTGAGAGAAAAATGTGGTTTTTCTTTTAAGATTTATTACAGCTTTTTGTTGGATCATTAATGGTCACATGGAAGTTACTCCATTAGAGGTGAGCTGCGTCAATAGTAGGCACTGTGGCCTCAACAAGTGGTTTTTTCTGACTGTAGCACTAGAGCGACTAGACAAATGTCCGCTCTAGGTTGGCAGCATACTCATAAATATCACAGTCACTTAATCCTCACTTTTGTTCTCAAAGCAAATTCCAGAATATAGCTCAATCATTGTTGAATGCATGAATTCATTTGTGTAAATGAAGATATCTAGTAGCATATTTTACTGTGAATTCACACTGTAAAATTATCATTTTATATTTGAAGGGCAAACTTAATTAACATGATTTTAGGTAATGAATTTTTTTTTTTGGTATAGGACCCATTAATCATTATGGAATTGAAAGACATTAATCAATATTTTTACATTTTTATTGTATATTATTCTAGTTTTTTTTATATAATTTTTATGTAAAGTCAAGAATTAATTGATCTTTTAAATATATAAAATATATTTAAAATAAAAAAATTAGTTAGCACGAGTACAAGTAGGTATCTCTTGTATCTTTTTGAGCGCATGTACCATTGTAAAAACTTTTAACACCAACGTGCCATTAAATAAATGATGGTTGAGCACAATAATATGTGTTTTCTTTTCCTTTTTTTTTTTCTTTATAGAAAACATGTTAAGGATTGCAAAACAACAAAGAAGTGTGGTTATTTGCTTATTGAATTAAAATAGGTTCTTATTTTTTTAATGGTAATGTTTTGAGTCTTGAATCCTTTGTAGAATTAGGTTTTTTTTTTTTTAACTTCATTTCTTGACTTTTGATTTTTATATCAAGTTTTATTTTTATTTTTTAATTGTTATTTATAATTTGTTCTTATCATTTTCTTAATTGAAATTATTTTTCAATTTCATCTCTCATGATTTAGTTTGATTTTATTTTTGTATCAAATTTAGTCTTTATTTTTTTCAAATCTATATATTTTTCTTTTTAATCCCTTTTTGTTTGTTGAATTTTTTTTTTTCAATTTTATCCTTCATTATTTTAGTTGGTTGGGAATTTAACATTATTATTCTTTTGTGTTTTCCTTTTATGTTGTTATACGACCTTATGATTCGTGTTATGAGTTTTTGAAGATTAAATTGGTCTCACAACTAAGTTATTTTGGTCTCACAACTAAGTTATAGATTTAATGTGCTAGCTCGGATAAACTTGGATCAATTTATTTTATTTTTTAAAATTATTTTTATTATTTTCTCATTCAACATATTAATTTTTATTTTGTTAACAAATAAGATAATTAAGACACTTTAAAAATATAGTAATGATATATTTTTATAATAATGACAAGTATTTATCTTTTACAGATAAATTATTATTGATTTTTTTATGTTGGTATCTTATTTTCTAATTATATTATTAAATTATTTAAAGTTATTAAACTTATTTAAATTCATAATTAAAAACTTAATTTTTTTTTAAAAAATAACTTGACATCATCTTGATAAATGTTTTATGTTGAACAAAGATAAACTGCCCGTGGCGTAGGGCGTCACCGACATAGTGTGTGTATTCATGAGACAACTTTCAGGGAATAATGGTGGCAATTACAAGGAGTTATGTCACAGGGAAGCGTCAAGTCCTTGCAATAGAAACAAAATCATGGGAAACTGGATTTAAAAATGGGCCACTGCTCTATGAGCGTAGCTAAAAAGTCTTTAATTTATTCCAATATTGCCTAATTTTAAAAAAAAACTCCACTCCTTTCGACCACACAGGAACAAATTAGGTCCCAGCTTGTTAGTCGAAAAGTGAACCAGATGACCACTCCTAATCTGATCCTTACTAACTTCAAAGAGACAAAGATTCGGGTCCAGCCACTCATGCTAAGCCTGCATTTACACTAAATTAAGCACCTAATCACACTTAATTAGCTTAGAATAATCGCCAAATATTAAGTATATTATTTCTTGTTCACTTCTCTGTGTTATTTGAGCCAGCGGCAGCGGCCGTAGACGTCCAGAATTGAGCACTTTTGATCTTTGACACACTCGCCAGGACACGTAACGGGATCACATCCCCTACAACAGTCACCTTCTTCGCTGCAAAGTCTATGTTGAAAGATGTCACACCTGCGGGTACAGAGACCAATGCTTTACATCAATTAGTTTGAGTAACTTAGGACAAAAGATTCACTCATAGCCATCATTATTGGCCGATGTTGGCATCCTAACAGCCATAATTAACCTTCGAATCCAGCTAAAAGCATGAAAGTTGAATTGACTGAATGAAAGACACTTTTGAACCCATAAGTTCATTCGCAGATGACCTCATATGGAATTTCGTTGGAACAGAGTACTGTTGATAGGTTATGTCAAATTAATGATGCCCCTCTCTCTCTCTCTCTCCCCCCCTCCCTCCATTTCTTTAATTAGTTTTACCAAATACGTAAATGAAAACGAAGGTGGATTCAGAAGAAGACAGGATATAGAGACTGGTACACTTCCTGGGGAATAATAAGGTTTGAAAGAGAGAGCGAGAGAGAGAGAGAGAGACAAGGGTGAGATCAACTTGGATGGCATTGTCACATGTTCATACCTTCCATTCTAGACAGATGTTTCCTCACTTTTCCCTCGCAACCTTTGCAGTGTAATGATACTCTCAAAACCACTACCTGAAATCAGAATATGAGTAATTACACCGACGAATTAATTTGACTGTAAATCCTTTGAACCATAAATATGAAGAATTGCACTACTTACTGATCTTAGTAACTAAAACATATCAGCCAAAGTTAAGTGCAAACCTGATTCGGACTTGAAGATGAAGATGGTTTCGAAGCTGTAGATTCCTCTTTACTTAAAGCTTGAGTACTCATGTTGGGTTCAACAGGAACTAGCTGTGCTGAAACTGGATCATAGTCTGGTATCCCATCGAAGAAAGCTGCGTGACCCAAAAGATTTCTAGACGAGCCAGGAGGGGCAATTATAGAACCCCCAAGCTTAGCCCAGCTCTTTCTAACAATATGTTTTGGAACATTAAGAGAAGCAGCACTCTTCTTATCATCATCACCAATATCATCTGGCTTAAAAGAGATTTTCTTGGTCTTTTGATCATTTGGTTTGGGTTTTGGTTTTGTAGAGTTCGACTTCTTGTTGCTGTTTTGATCACTGGCTTTATTCTTTGAAGTGCTTTTTTGGCTCTTGTGAAGTAGCTGATAAGGGACGGGGTTGATGGGTGGTGGTTGAGAAGTACAAGGAACTAAAGGGAGAGTTCTTGGGATTCTTTTTTGGTCTCTGATGACGGGGTTGCTGCGATCAATGGTTGGGCCACCGAGCTGAATGGTGGAGGAGGAGGAAGAAGGCCGATCCATGCTCATGCATATGGCTGTTGAAGCTTGAGATGCACAAAACATATCTATTTTCTTCATCTTCGGAAGTTGACAAGAGGGGTGGCCTAGCTAGCTAGTGGTTTAGAGAATCTGCATTTCAGAGAGAGCAATAGAAAGACTGAGAGAGTGAGAAGAACTTCTGGTTTTTCGTTATGCCTTCAATTACGCTTGAACAACTTCAACAATTTGGATAGAGAGGCAGAGTGAATGAAGAATATCACAATTTCACTACGGGATTTATTATCTAACAAAGAAGTACGGATCAAGTGGAGAATTTTCTAAACTTGCAACTCTTAAGCAGTTGCCACAACACAGTCTAATGATTGGTATGTGATGAGTTTTCTTTTTTCTTTTTCTTTTTGATGAAGATGAGAACTCTTAATCAAGCAGGAAATCCTTACAGAAAGTTGAAAGTTCAACCCATAACATCTTGAGTGGAGAAAAATGATTCATGCAGCAGATACAGATCACAGCCACTACTAGTAAGTTTGTAACTGGTCCATGACATGCATGCTTGTGCCTCCAGTAGGTTTGACATTGACATAAAGGGCCCACGGCACAGCCATACGAGCTAGAGTCCAAGTCTAACGGCATTATAGGACTGCATTAATTTGCTAGATAATTAACCCCATTGTAATTGTAAACTGTAAAAGGCACGAAGAAAAGAAAAGATTTGCACATGGGCTGCTGCTGCTGCTGCTGCATTTCTTTTACTTGGAGGACAACCGGAAAACAGTGATCTTTAATGGATGAAAATGAGATGCAACCACTTCTTTTCCCAGATTTTAATGGGTGAAAATGATATGAACTGGGCGTTTTTCTCTCTTTAGAAAACATATCAAGTTCGACAATGTTAGTACAATTTGCTCTGACAAAATCATCCATCTTGGTTACTGTGTTAGACGCAGAGTAATTTTAACAAGAATTGAAAGTTAACAAGAGGATTGATTAATAAGGCTAGATGATTTCCAATCCATTATTCTTTAATTTCAGAAGAATCTTGTCTGTAAAATCATATGGAGCCCACTGAAATCTCTAAGCTTAGATTAGCAGAGATCTCAGAGGAATTTCCATAAAATGCATTGTCTTGAATGTAACATTATGGCTTAAACAAGACAATTTTAGAGGGGTAAATTAATGTATGGCCTACAGTTTTAATGGTTAATTAATAAATAGTTGGGCAAGAAGTTGTCTATGAATTCAATATTCGAGAAGGAACAGCACAAGGGTCGAATGGGACAGGGCAACGGTAGACAGCAACAGCTAATGGCTTGGGCTGGCCTATAATTATATCGAAGGAATATTTTCTTGGAAAAAAAGAAAAGAAAGGGAGGTTGTATCTACAAGAACTTGACGTTGATGGTCCATGGACAATTTGAGGTCATTGTCTGAGCACGAGACCTTGGGATTATAGGTTTCGTGCCTCCCAAGGACGTGTTAGTGTTAACCCTAAGATCGCATTTATTTACCCCTCCCTCCCCGTATTGCAAGCAAGTTTACAGGATACTTTCTGGATGTGTTTATTTTTAAAAATTTAATTTTTAAAAATTTAATTTTTAAATTTTTTATATTTATTTGTAATTATAAAAATTAATCAATAAAAAATATTTTTTGGGTAACAGAAAATACTTTCTTGTTAATAAAAAATACTTTTTAAAAAAGTGTTTTATCTTGATTTCCACAAAAAGTGTTTTTTATTTTTATTTTGAGAAGAAGACATTTTCTGAAAATTATTAAAAATTTAAAAATATCATATTATTTGTTGATTATATCAAATTTGATTCTCAAATTTGTTATTGCTATATATATATATATATTATTTTGAATATTTGTTTTTCAGTTTCATCCTTTAAAATTTAATTTTTATATTAATTTTGGTACTTATTTTTATAATTTTTATTTATTTTTTATTTATCATTTTTTTAATTGAAATTTTATCTATCAAATTTGATCCTCATTCTCTTGCTTGTTATTTATTTTATTTAAAATAATTTATAAAATTTTAATTATTATTATTTTAATTTCTTCATCTTTTTATTTTTTTTATTTTTTAGATTTAATCTTTATTATTTTGATTATTATTTATTTTATTTGAAATAATTTATGAAATTATATTTTTTTTCAATTTCATTCCCATTCAACTTTTTAATATGTAAGATTTGGTCCTCATTATTTTAATAAACTTGAAAAATAAAACATTAATAAGTTATTTTCCAGCTCATTTTCCATAATATAACCAAACACTGAAAAGTGTTTTCCAATTTATTTTCCATTATATTACCAAACATCAGAAAATAATTCACTTTTCTGAAATTCACTTTAAAAAATATATATACTTTTCAGCAAACAAACGAGGCCTAAGTCCAGCCCAATTTCCATAATCAAAGGCCCAACTTGATATAATTTCAAAGCCTCCTTCCTCTGGAAAAGCAAAATAAAATCCAAAGAAGATATGCAAGCACAAAAACAGCTGAAATTTATTTATGGGCTGGTGTTTCACATGTTAGTTCTACACAATTATTAAACTCGGTCTAGAACATGACCTGGAATAAGACTTGATTCATGGATTTGCAAATCAACTATGGGTTGATGAATCACCCTAAATGTATCTTAAAAGATTGAAATGATGTCTTTTTTATTAAAAAAAAACACCTTTAAAGTTATCATGGTTAGACTTTATTTAAGTTTAGTTAGGTCAAATAAATTATGGATTGATTTACTAATCACCTCAAGTATGACTGCGTCAACTGAATTAAACTAGATCAATTTTTGAAACTATTCATAAAATTTGACCTAAAGTAGGCTCCTTATTCACTTATCAATAACACTCGCATGGTCTCCCCAATAATAATGCAACGCAAACATGTTTGATAAAAGAGAAACACATAATGATTATTATTTAGGATGAGAGTTATCTTTCCAATTCAAATTGAAGAAAACATGAAGCATATCAATGAATTTAAGGATGATATGGGTGTTCTTGTGGCTGATTATGATGGCTTGAATATGAAAGAGAAGATGAATCCTCACAGTGAGCTTGGTGGTATCTTCGACTAATGAATTCTACCATATATTACTTTAAAAGATAGAAAATCAATATGTAAATTATATATACATTTGAAGAAGGCAATGTATAAGTTGTTTTAACTGAGAAGTTGAGGGTTACTATAAACTTGAACTCTATATAATTGGAAGTTAATAATCCTTATCGCATGTATGCAGCGCCACAGCAATCATCTTTTTAGATTGAGATATTCAGGTGAGGGTGGAAAGAATAAGAAATTCTTATCCTTTATCAAGTAAAAAAGTTTAGAGTCACCATTTAATATTTTGATCACTATAAACCTTAACTAATCTTTAGAGTCTGGATAAAGAGACTAGTTGTATATTTTGATCACTATAAACCTAAACTAATCTTTAGAGTCTGGATAAAAAGACTAGTTGCGTGTAGAAAGGATAATATTACCCATAGTACACCCTATATAAAGTAAGTTGTATTATTTATTTATTTATCTATTTACGAAGATACTATTATTTTTTCTAATTGTTAATTTGTCTGCTAATCAAAGTAGGTACATCCTATTAGAATGGATCATAGCTTTATAAGTCAAGCCTATCTATTCTAAAACGTAATGTTTGAGAGCCTCACTAAATAGTCATGTTAGTCCAAGATCACATTAGAGAGCGGGAGATCTGGAGCAATCCCTAGAGATTGCATGAGGTTTGAGAGTCCTAGTATAGAGTCATGTTAGTTCGAGACTACATTGGAGAGCTGTAGATAAAACATGTATGTCCAAGATATAATATTTTTATTTGAGAAATAAACTTGTATTTTTATCAAAGATAGCGTATCATAAGATGATTTGAGTATCCAGTACAAGGGAGACTTTCTCCTTCCATATCCTAAAGGTGGTAGGCATTTGTGTTGACCATCCTAATAACTTTAAATGAGTCATCCCATTTTAATTTAACGTGTAGTAAACCTTTAGGATACACCAAGCACATATAGGCTAGTTCCTCCTAATTCTTTCTTAAGCTTTCATTTTCGGTATGAGAATAATTCTGCTTGGAATGTCTTTTATATTGGTTGTCCTTATAAAAATAAAAAAGTTCACGTCATAATGCATTTGCCTTCCACTCATATATAATTTTCCAATATTTGTTTCATATTTAGCAAGCTTTCGTTTGGAAAAATGTAAAGCTTTCTCCATAAAATGTGGTTTTTTACCCTACTTACCTAGGCATCTAAAGCTATTAACTCAAGTAACTCTTCCACTATGAATATTTTCTTATTAAACCTCTTTAAGTATGGCCACGTAGACTCGGCCTCTAGCGAGGTAACATTAAATAGCTTTATTAATCTTCTCTTAGTATGTATATTGGTACTAAAACATGCCAATAGCTTGGTGTGGAGGTTATTGAAGTCTCTAATAAAGAATGGCTAAATTATTATACCAGGTGTGCATAGACTCTTTAAAGGTTGCGAGAAGGATCTTATACATCATATTATTATTCCGGATGACTAGTTCCAAGCTGTTACGCATGATTTGCACATGCTCTCTTGAATTGGCAAGACCATCATAGTTGATCAAACTCATTTTTATATAAATATAGTCTTCAGGGATTTAAGTGTTCAATACTTATTTGGACAAGGGTGAATCCCTTACTTGATGGTGATTGTAGAAATTCTCTTAGATATTCTTAAATACAAGTTTTTATTGATCCTTTATATGTTAGGTTTTATGGAGCCCAAGGAGTTTTGGTATGGAATGACGAGATTGGTAAATGGTGTCCATCTCATGGTTGTTAAGGGGAACACATCTAGAGTTCCCACTCTGCCTGAGGGTATTATAATGGCATGAGCAAGACTTAATAAGCATTGAGGTAAAATACTCTCCTAGATATCATTCTATCCAAACTTCTCATGATAATGTTATTGTCTACAGTGCTGGAAGTAGCCAATGGAAATGGAGTTAGGGCGTTGTGTTGCTGAAGGTGCCAAGATTTTATTTAGTGGCAAGGCCTACTTGTTTCCCTTAGGTTGCCAAGATGGCCTCGGTGAGGAGTTATGCCTGATTAATAAGTTATTGGATGTGTTGGCTAAGTAGAAATGCTTGCTTTAACAAGTAAATCTGTCATGCGTCCTGACTTAGGTGTGTCTTGGTTATCTGCTATGAAATGGTTTGGAAATGTCAAAAATAAGTTTTAGAAAAAAAACTGATGACTTTTTTTATCAGTTTTCACAGACAATGCTAATTAATAAAGTTTCAGAATCCAAAGTGCATGAGAATACAACTTATATGGTTAGATAATAGGTTAATCACTTAATTTTTACAATATGATCTATTCTCAAGATGGTTGGTAGCTTATTGTGGGAAACGCAATATGATCTATTCTCATTTGCCAAGATGGTTGGTAGCTTATTGTGGGAAACCAAGTACCTGCAAAAGACCCCCTTTGATAGATGTAGAAACTCTTAGATGTTTAAGTAAGTATTTTTATAAAAAAAGAGTACAACAATATTTTAGAGAGAGACTCTGTAAATATATATGCAAATATGTAGATAATAAACAAATTATCTTCTTTTTATCTTGATAATTCATAGGGTATTTATAGCTTATAAATCTTTTTTTTTTTTTGCTTGAGTAGAAAAACTAAAGAGTAATTTTATCCTTATAAATTACTATTGTTAGTTAAGAGTTGTATTTCACTCAAATGTATTAATGAGATGTAAACTATAAGAGATAGTTGTCTACCTAAGGATGTAAAAAACATAGGATTCATAATAAAATGTATTTAGTAGGTAAAAAATCTTAAGGAACCTACGTGGGGTTCTAAAAATTTCAAACTCAAAATATTAGGTTTAAATCACGTGGCTGGGCCTAATTGGCTCCCAAAAAAAGCCCAGACACACTGCTTAAGTCAATAAATTCTAAGCTTCAGCTATATGTTGGGTGATTGGGCCAGACTAGCATATGTTCTCTCTCTTTTTTCTTTTTCTTTTTCTCCTTTAAGGATTTTTTAGCTTGTTAAATTTGGTTTAGGTGAACAAAAAAATATTTTTGAAACTATTTGTAAATCATGATACATCACATGGAATATTAATATATTAAAATTATTTGTAGATTAATAAGAAATTAATCTTAGTTAAACTTGAAAAAAAAATCTAATATAAAATTTTAAATCATATTGGTAAAACATTGTTTCTTCTCTTTCAAAGATATATATATATATCCCATATTAGAAAAAATAAAGACTCTTCTTCACTTTAAAAGACTTTATATATGAAGGTTTTTGTTGATTTATTAAAAAATAAAAAGAAAGTATTTTTAAAATTATTTTCCTTTTATTTGATTTGTGGTTCAATTTTCTCCATGTAGAAAGAAAGTCAATTTGTTTATTGAAAATCATCTAGACTTAATATTGAAATGCATTAGTTAAATTCATCTCATTTTGTTATATTATGTAATTTGTACAGTATGATTTATTTTATTTAATTCATTAATATTTTTTTCATTGACATGCTACTTTAATCTCTTATGTTGCTTTATAAGCATGTCTAATTTATTCTTCGTAGTTCACGAGTTTGCTGTTTGATCTATTTTTTCAGTCTTTTTATATATAATTTGTTAACACATTAAAAATTAGAACAAAAGCTCCACGTAGCTTAAATAAAACACCTTTCAATCAATTTAAAGACCATCACCTTATTAAATAATTAATTCAAGATTTAATTAATTAATTTATATTAATAAATGCATTGACTTCAATTAAATAAATTCAACTTTATTTAACTTTGGAAAAACAAATTAAACTTTCTTTGATATAAATTTTACAAAAATAGAGGGCTTGTGTAGCAATATTCAGGGCCTCCACCATATCTAGACTGGCTCAGAAAGAGAGCAGCAGTTTCACATGAGCAGAGAAGGCGCAGATATGACACCATATGTATTCCTTCATCGCTATGTTTTCCACACCAAAACTTCAGAATTTTTTTTAATACAAGCTAAGACACGGTATTTAAAACACTGCAAGGGAAAAACTACACTAATATTTTGATTTTGTGCTAACAAGTACCAGGAACGACGAACACGTATATCTTCCAGCTGAAGTGGCACCTTGTTATAAATTCCATGCATACATAGATTACAGAAGAGAGCCAATAAATGAATCAAGATATAGACAAGGTCTTGACAATATACATCGTAGTTCTGCCGATCATTTTATTTAAAGCCCTTTCCCTTCATCTCCATTCAAAATGCGATTCTGGAAATCATTCACCATGAGAGGCAATCCTTCTCTCAAAGAAATTCTTGGCTCCCAATTCAGCAGCTCCTTCGCTTTACTTATATCAGGTTTCCTCTTATGTGGATCATCAGCAGTGTTGGGTTTGAATTCTATTGTTGCACTTGAATCAATAGTCTCCTTGACAACCTTCATAATACGGCGGAAAAATCAAGTGCCAACATCAGCTAGGAGTTTCCATCTTTCACTATCTCTATCTCTATCTCCCCATGCACACACACACTTGGGAGCAAGCAATTCTAAACTAATAGCCTTGTTTTGAATCTCACCAAGATAAGGTGATTGAGGCACTCGGAAAAGGAATATGTCTCTTTAAAAACAAGAAAACTATAAAGTTTGAAGGAAGACAAACCTCTGCAAGCTCGAGCATAGTGAACTCTCCTGGGTTGCCAAGGTTGAAAGGTCCCACATGCTCGCCTTCCATTAGAGCCACCAGCCCATCAACCTGTCAATGGAAAAGGCTTTTAACATACTTTATCATGTTAACTTTTAAAACCTAAACAGGAATCCCAAAACATATCAAGATATTCTCTGCATTTGCAATTATTCTCTATTTGGATCTTTTAAAAAACAGAATTCATCAATTCTAGCACCTTCTTTTCCAAAGCCTTATGCAACCACTTCCCTGATTAGCGGGCCATGAATTGCAACTACAAATGTGTTTTGAGTAGTTTGCATTGAGATAAAGGATCTCAAAGGCCATACAGCTTTCATGAAATTTTCGATGCTAGCAGTAAAATGGAAATGTGGATAATAACGTCATACCAGGTCAGAAACATATTGGAAGCTCCTAGTTTGTTTCCCATCCCCATATACAGTCATTGGCTGTTTGCGAATGACCTGCAAACATTGTTCAACTTGTTAAAAAAAAAAACTTATAGAAAGCAGAAATTTATTTAGATATTTCAAAATTCAAATGGCAGTCTATTGCGGACATCACTGCCTGAAAAAGGAGAATAATACCTGAGCAACGAAATTACTGACAACACGTCCATCATCCAAACACATGCGAGGCCCATATGTATTAAATATGCGAGCAATACGCACCTGTAAATGGAAAGAGCCATCATTAGTCCACTCCCTGCCAGTTAACTAAGCACACATGCAAGAACAGCCATTGCAGGATAGAAAAATAGGCAACACAGGCAACACAAAAAGGCTGATATCATATCAACACAGATGACATAAGGCTTTAAAGTGTTGCATTCCCAGCATCAAATAATTGGAGAAATTCACCAGTTGTTATGAGAAAAAATGGGTACAAGCTTCTTTTGAACCCCAGCTGCTGCAACAGAGGAGACAATGGATGCTATATATCGCTGCAAGTATTCATCATTTTCTATAAACTAAATTCATTTATTTCAGTAGTAGCTATTTTCACCAAAGACCTGGGCCAATCCAACCCACCCTTTACTGCCCACACAAAGGCTATGGGTAGTTCATCAAGTTTACTAGTCTTTGAGTTAACAACATATTTCTCTAAGCAAATTTCATTTATTTCAATAGGCAATGATATTAACTTAAAACCAGGCTTATATCACCCATCCCATTTCTACATGTGGCAAAGCCCAGGAGCAGTTGATCAAGCCAACTAATCTTTGAAGAAGTGAAGATAAATGTCAAGCTTTGAGGACTTTGCATAAAAGAGAAATGGGTGAAACTGGGACCAATAGTTTAACAGTGCCAAAAGGAAGGGTGGTGTTGTCAGTTTCCAGTTTCATGCAACCATTTAAACATTGTAGGACGTGGACATCAGGCACACCACGTCAAATTAAATTGGTAACATTTTGAACAGGAAAATTCAAGTGGATAAGAAGAAAATGCCCCCTGCCCCACCCTATTTCTTCAACCTACCCAAACAAATCAACAATTATAAAGGAAGTAACACATATGGACTGGTAGAATGCTGAAACTGTCAGAAGAAAGGATAACATTATGCCTGACAACTCCATGAAAAATTAATTACTTTTATTTATTCACATTGTATTCCAATATTTTTCCAAAGACAAGTGACCGACTAAACAGTGTTGAGTGCATTTTTGAAGTAACCATAGCAGATACTTTGTAAAGACATTAGATTCATGTTGAACCTTTGCAGTTATTTCCAGAAGAACAACGAATAAAATCATGCCTGAAAACCATGTTCTTTCCAACATTAAAATAGCAGACCATTATATTGCTTTCTACACAAGTACATTACTGGATTTCTTTCAAATGAAAACACTTCCATGAAACATAATGAGCCAAATCAAATTATTTAGGCCCTTGAAAAGGTCAAAACCACGCAACAAATCAAGGAACTGGCTTGTTGATTTCAGGCCATTCTCAAATCCTGTACGCTCAAAAGGAGAGACTAATCAATAATAAACTTTATTTTACAATATATACAAGGTAGGCTCCAACTCAGTTCATACTTTATTGTCTACAGAATTGATTGTCTAGAACACACATGCATCAACTTATTGAAAATACAAATAAAAGCTTAACATTTTATGACTGCATTTCAACAACAACCAGTAATTTTTGACAGTGCATGATCCTGTAGAATTGCATTCAGCATCCAAAAGGAGCAGATCTATTGAGGAGCACCGAGTAAAACCACTGATATACAAACAACATCATGCAAATTTTATACACCCAAAGATCCTAATAACAAAATAAGCGTGTCATTATAGCTTGCACCTTGCAGTCTAGTAATATATCAAAAACAATTACCTCGACATCTGCACCTCGGTGATAATCCATGGCTAGTGTTTCTGCCGTCCGTTTTCCTTCATCATAGCAACTCCTCTCACCTAACGAATTCCAAAGCACACCCTATCAATAAAAACAGTACATTGTTGCATTAATGAAACAAACAGATGTTCCTAACTAGCATCTGACCTATTGGATTCACATTTCCCCAGTACGTCTCCTTCTGCGGATGCTCAAGCGGATCTCCATAAACCTCACTCGTACTGGTTAGCAAAAACCTCGCCCCTACCCTCTTCGCCAAACCCAACATATTAAGCGTTCCCATCACATTAGTCTTGTAAGCAAACAATTCACAGTCAAGGATCCAAGAATTCCAAAACAAAAACACACGAATCACACACATAACCAACATTAATGAAAATTAAGAAAGCGTAACAACTTCATAAAAAGGATATAATAGTCTTGACTGGGTTATATTTATAATGAACTGGCGAAGCAGGACAAGCCAAGTGATAGATCTGATCAACTTCTAACAAAATAGGCTCAACGACATCATGTCTAATTAATTCAAACCTCGGATTCCCAAACAAATGAACCAAATTCTCTTTCCTTCCTGTAAAAAAATTATCAATCACGATAACCTCATCACCCCGCGAAATCAATTTATCCACCAAATGACTCCCAACAAATCCAGCCCCGCCAGTAACCACGATACGCAAACTCTTCCGGCCGATCCCAGCTGGGACGCGGCCTGGAAACGTCCTCTTAGAGAAAAATCCGGAGGACCCAGAGGAGGAATCTTGGTTGCGATGGTAAATTGAAGAGGAGAGAGAAGAATGGGTGGTTGGATCAGATGGATTAAGGCGGGAGAGAGTAGGCTGAAAAATGAAGAAAGTAGAACCAATTAAAATGCCAACAAGAATGAAAAGAAGGCGCTGTTCTTTGAGGAGATAATTAATGGATCTAGGGAGAGATCTGGGGTGTTTTAGCATCTTAGGAGAGTAAGATTGGGAAGTTGGGATTTCTTCGTCTCTCCTGTGATTTACGCTTGTTTGTTTGTGTAATTGTTTCATCATCGTGGGAACTGGGATTTCTTTTTTTCAAAGTTTTGGAGAAGGAAGAAGAAGAAGAGAGGACTAGTTGTGTTGGGTTTAAGCATCAGTGGTTTCTTCTATTTTCAGGGAAGCCAAAGAGGATGACCGCCATGTTTTTTATCATGCCGGATGAAATGTTCGTTTTTCCGTTGATAAAAAGTTTTAACTTTTTTATTTTAAATTAATTTTTTAATATTTTATATTGTCTTAGTTTTCAGTGTAAAAAATAAATTTAAAATAATATTATTTTAATATATTTATAAATAAAAATTATTTTGAAAACAAACAATGCCACAAAGCTAAACTAACATAAAAAGAAATTCTTGCCTGCCTTGTTTTTCTTTAATTGTATTATTTATTTCTGACTGTTTTTACCCGGGGAAAGAAGTAAATCGCAAGGTATAATTATTGAATTTTATTTATTTCTTTATAATATCTGGCGAGGTCAAAGAAGACTTGAAGCTTATGATTGCAGAGATTAGCTATAACTTAGAGTTCAAGGCTCTGGAGATTTTCCTCAAATTCAAAAGGATTGCATAAGAAATTGAACTGTTGTGAGCTAAAAGAACATGCCAAAGGTTCAAATTCTACATAAAACGGTGCAGTTTAAAGCGCACAATCCCATTTTTATCATTATTTTTGTCAGTTTACCTTAATTACTCACCATAAGAGAACAAAAACCTTACTATTTTTTTTCCTTAAAAACCCACGTATTTTTCCTTTGAAAATAAATTTTTCAGGAAGAAGAAGTTTGTCCATACTCTTTATTCATAGGCTAGTAATATAAATGGGTTGCAAGAATATAATTATTTATGAATAAAAAATTATTTTATAATAAACTTAAATTAAAGTTCAACATAGATTAACAAAAATAAACTTGAATAAAAAAAATTATTCATGAAGAATTGATAGAATTTATATATTAATTATTAGCAACTGTATGTTCCAGTTAAGATGATTATCGGGTGTTATAATAAACTAGTACGGTAGAAGATAAAACAAAATGTTTGTCTTGACATGTAAAGTAGTATATATACTAAGAATTTATAGTAAAAAATACTTCTTTTGTAATCTTTTAAATTAGTAAAAATTATCTATTTTGAGTTTGATTATTCTAGATGACTTTTTATCTTTTATAAAGTTATTCAAAAGGTTTCTAGACAATGTTTAATATTATTATGTATACAATATGTGTGTACTTATCATTATACAAATTACTTTATATCATTATAATTGTTAATTGATTATTATTAATAGATATACAACAAGATATTATACAGGTTAATAACAAACTTATTTAACTTAACATAGGTGTTGAACAAGTGCATCATTATGTTGTTAGTGGATATAAGGACTAGGATTTATGCCAAACTAATAAGGAAACAAGGATGAATGCAAGGGATATAAAAAATGAGGAGGGATATAAAAAATGAGGAGGAAGCAAGCAACAAACCGACTATCAATTTTTTTTAACTATTCTAGAATTTTATTAATTTTTAATAAATAATGAATATTCTAGTATATAATAACTAAGATATTCTTTTTGTAGCATAGGAATCTTTATGTTAGATACTTGATAAACTTTGAACTTGATGCATATAGTTATATAAAAATATTTGATGTATGATAGTTTTTAAACATGTTATGAACTGTTAGGATGTAACATGTTGTATTTGGTATATCTTGAATATGTTATGAAATATTTGTATAAAACATATTAGAAACTGTATAGATGTTATTGCATAAATATTATTAATTGTTCTTATGCTTCATAACAATGTTTCAATTATGCTTGTAAGTATACTTTGATGAAATACCTGTTTATAATATAACTATCTAAACTATTTATATGCTAATTCATGTTTATTATATTTTATCACAAGTTTATCAAAGAAAGAGATTATAAATGTCGCAATGATTGATTTTGATTAATAAAGGTTTATTTACGTTGATGAAAATACATTTATTTATATTGTTAGTTTATTCAAATTAGATAAGGAATTAGTCAAGTTTATATTATAAAATATAATATGATTATTTCTTTAATTATTTAGTTTGTTTGTATAAATTATATAAGAAGTTAAGACAAGTTTTATGGAAAAAAAAAAGAGATAAATACAAGTTATGTAAAAATAACTATCAAAAAATTGTTTTTATAAAACACATAATAAACTAAAAATTTGAAAATAATATTTACCAAAAGTTCATATCTTTATCATCTTTATCACATAAATGTATGTATATATATAAAAAGTCAATTAGAAGTAGTTGTTATAGCAGCGTTGGCAACAAAACAAGAACACCTTTTGTATTATATATGTTTGATACACAAATAGAGTGTGAAAAAAAATTTTTAATTTTTTTAAAATTATTTATTGAAGAGTTAGAAAACTTATAAAGTTGTAAATAGAGTTTATATTACAATTAGAATAATAATAGTTTCAAGATCATCAGATATTATAATAAGCTATTACTGTAAAAGTCAAAACAAAGTGTTTATCTTTAACCATCGGTAACACACTTGTATAAAGTATGTCCGGAAAAAACTTGCGTACGGACAGTTCCAGGGTTCTGACTTCCGATGGACGGCGGCAAAATGAAGCAACTTGGAGTTTCAGTCTTACGAAAACTTCCAGGGCACTAGCTGGTTTTTTTGAATCGGGGTACACAGAATTAACGAAGGACCCGTGATTTAGCATCAACTTTTATTGGTAATTTTATCCACCATGGTTGTTACTATTTATTTCATAGCATAATGTTACTAATGGTACAAAGTAATTAACTTGATTAAACATATAGTGTCGATCCAGAAACTTAATTTTTGCTTCTTCATGACACGGGAGATGAGCAGGGCATCATTATTTACATGAACTGATTCCACTAATTCAACTGAAATGAAACTGATTACACTTCCATGAACTTGCATGTAACCTAATACCTTCTAAATAATAATAACATATCTTTTATTAAAGAATAATATAAAATATATTTTAAAATTTTATTTAATAATTTAAATTATTAGATTAAGATAATTCTTTAATATCAAAATTTTATTGATCAAATAATCATGACATTAAATCTTACTACTCTCATTTCATATAATTAATAACACAATACTTATCTAATAATCCAACAAAATCCAACAATGCCAAGTATGTAAAATACAATATATTAGAGAATAATATAAATTATATTTTAGAATTTCATTTAATAATTTAAGTTTTGGGGTTGAATTGATTCTTTAATATGGTATCAAAGTCTTAATATCTAAATGGTTACAAATTTGAATTTCATTATCCTTATTTATTTGATAAAAATTAATATAAAATAGTATAAATTTAAGCAAGTTTTAAGTCCAAATAACTTTTATTTTAAAAAATATATTATAAAATAGTATTCGAACGGAATTGCAAGACTATTCTTTTTACGCAAATATTAAAGGTGACACGTACATGCAGAGTTGTCGGCTGTGCAAGTTAGTAAGATGGTGTTTGTTTACGCGGTTGCGGCTGTGTTTTAATTAAAACGCAGTTTGCAGTCATTTGGTAAAGCAAAAAATTGATTTATTGTGTATGAGTTCCACATAATTGGTTTTTTTAGTGTTCATTTAATTTTATTAATATTTTTTTAATTTTATTAATATTTTTTAAGTGTTAATTTTATTAATATTTAAAAAAAAACTAGTTTAAAGTGAATTAAATTT